TATGAGTTTGAGTTATATCATATTAATATGAAAATAAATTTTTTTTAAGGATCTAGCTTTATATGGGTTACTCTAAATGATTTACAAACAAAATGAAAGAAATATAAAATTTGGTATATAAATTCATGAATCCACTTTAAACAAGCTTCAAGATAATGATATATAAAGGGTTTTTGATATCATTATTTCATTTTTAGATTGAAGAAAAATACTATTGATCAGTATTTATATCAGTGGGAGCAAGTTTATTATATTGGTCTTATATATGTATAATATTTTATCTTACCAATAGTGATCTTGATTTATTATATTAAATCAAGAAATTTATCACTAAGAGTTTTAAGATGGTTGATATGAATGAGACATCTTATATTATTAAAATTGAGTAATTTAAGGATAGACCTCAATTATTGTGAAGATTATCTTAAAAAGAATGTATCAACTGAGTCTTGAAAAGATTTAATATACAACTTTGTTTAGTAAATCATAAAAACTAAATTTTAGTCAATAGTAAATGCTTTAAAATAACTTGAAAAGAATTAGATAAAGAAAATATTCTTTGTATATACACAGTTAAAAGTCTATGCTCAAGCCTATGTCGGAACATATATCAGTTTTATAATTAAAATTCTGGGTATATATTGGAGTTACCCAGAAGTAAAAATACTAAAGGACTACAAAGAAAGTAATAAGATATCTGGAAGGGACAAATGATTATATGCTCATGTATGAAATATTTTTCAGATACTGATTGTATAAATTACCTCAATAATAGGAAGTTCACCTTACGGTTAATATCTATATCAATTAGAGGAGTAATTTATTATTATTATTAATAGAAGTTGATTTTGTGGCATGCTTTGAGACCACTGATCAAACTTTTTGATTGTAAAATTTTAACTCAAGACATGGTGTAGTTAGACTCAATTGTCAAGTCGTTAAAAATATTTTGTGATATTGTAGAAGTTTTCTTCTCTAATGACAAGTATTATTGTATCTCTATACACTATGGTATAAAGTACTTGATGGTTAGAGAAGAGGAGTCCAGAAACATCCAATGTCAATTAATTGTTTGAGTTCTACTATGTTGATTGGCGATCCATTCACTTAGGACTTATAGCCTAAAGTATTTTGAAAGAACATATTCTTATGATTAGGTTTGTAAGCAACTCATAAAGGATATAGTGATGCATGTTTGAGTGGATACTACAATTGATATTCTTACTCACGTATTTAAAGTTATTTGTTTCTGTTATCCTGTTCACAATTATGTATATACATATTATTGTTGAATGTGACGAGAAGATTATCTTTACAAGAAAAACTATATGGGTCATTTTGGACAGTATCAGGAAAGGCTAACAGTGTTGTGGTATATAGAAGGAAGTGTGACACTAATGACATACAACTGCTATGACTCATATTGTTAGTCAGACTTAATGTTGTATTATTATATTTATTAGATTTATTAGTTTATTTTTAAAAATTTATAAATTTTAGAATCCAATTGGGTCAAATCGTTTTTAAATAAATTTTTTTTTTTATTTTAAGTTTTTTTTTGTATCTTTTCGATTAATGGGCTAAGTGGGAGAATGTTAGATTATGTGTTTCTATTTAATTAGGTAAGATATATTATAGATATGATTGGATTTTGATTATGGTTATTGGCCAAGAACTCTCATAATAATTTATTCTAGACTCTCTACTCTTACCTATAAATAGACATGATGACCTCAAAGGACTAAATAGATGAAGATTAAGGCTTTTCTCTCAATCTTCCTAATCCATCAATCTAAATGATCACGTGAAAAGATAGATTGAGAGGAGAAGGAATGTATAGTTCTCTTTGCATATTTACATCAATATTTGATCTAAAGACGGTGCTTTTGCATATCACACAGAGATCTCTTTTTTAGATGTATCAAAAGATACGTATCGTAAAATCAAATTTAATTTTATTTGATTTACATAAAAAAATTATTTTTATATTTCATATACCATATTACAGATTTAATGTTAAAAAGATTAAAAAAAAAACTTATTCTTTTTTAATGGATGTCTTCACCTTTTTGCTCTTCCGCCACCCAACTGCAACCACCAAGTTGCAAGTCTCCCATCTGCTACACATGTTGTCTTTCTACTACTACCGCTGGTTGCCGAGGTACTGGTCCACCGGTCTCAGCCATGCAACAACCGTCAACAGCAGGCGGAGAAACGGAGGAGCGAGCCCCTCAAGATCATCCATGGCTTTCTTCCCCGGGATATCCCCTTCTCAGGAGCTGGAGGACCACGAGTTCAGTTTAATTCATGGAGTTTCCAAGAGATTGGTGCCTCAAGGTCCAAATCCACTACATAACCGAGACAGATTTGTTGCAGTTATAGAACTGAAAGGTACAGTGCAGTTTCAGCTTTATTTGATGATATAAGGAATATACTACAAGTATAGTTTCAGCTGTTGGCGTAAATTGCTGGCATCATGTTTGAGAGTTTAGACAACTCTTGTGACTTGGGAAAGTGTATTTCAAAGTAAAAGAGTCTTGATAGAGAGAGTCTGAACTCTGTTGCTCATTTATTAACTCATTTAACGATAAAGAGTATAAATTACAGCAAAAAAGTTTTTCTTATAACTTGATGGATGGATCGATATAACCATGATTATTGCTATAGAATGATCAATAATTTTCAACCTCAGGTAAGCATGTTGGGGTGTCTGAATCCATTCACGTCATACCCAAACTCCAAGACATGTACATCAATCAGTATGAAACTTGTGCAGGTAAAATGAAGATCTAGTAGACTAAATTAACTAACCGTAAAGGTATATGTGGAATGCACCACTTTTACGATGGGCAATACACTGCCAACATTTTCACAGTAATCTAAAGATGATAAGCAATTGGACCGCAAAACTGAGAACAGATGGTGAAGAGAGTTTTACCTCATCATGTCATATCAGCCCGAACACAGATTAGACAGTGGGTGGCAAATTGTCTGACATATTCAAAACTTAAATATATGGACACAAACACAGCGAAGACCGACACATCCTGGGTGTGAGATGTGACAAGACAAAGCATTAAGAACCTTTTACTTCATGTCTATTATTAACATCAAGTGCTAAGTGCATGACCACAGGACGACACATCATCTGGTTGGAAGATAACATGGTTGAACTACAAGGAATTACATATGCTTCAGAATGGAACTCAGAAGAGGGTCAGTAGTAGTTTTGATTCTTTATTAGGTCATTAACTCAAAACTAGATACAATCTTATCCGAATCCTCGATTGATTATTCAAGACTCTTTTCGGATCCCATAATGAGATGTCCCTCACCATTTTGATCCTTGAGAGTGACGATTGACTCTCTAAATCTTCAACTAAATATGATTTTAACACCTTAAAATAAATAATTACCTTCTTTTTCAACTATGAGACGATCAAATTGGTGAATCAATGACCTGTCTCCAGGGTGTCACATGTCGGTCTGCCGGTTGCTGCTCTGCTCCGAGAAACAAAGGCTCGTCAGCAACTCACACGAGACTCTTCTTTCTGCAGCTGAGCATTCGGTGGTCTAGCACTTGTCCTCCTCCTTGATTCCTGATGCTAAAGCTTATTTATGTGTCTGTTCACTTATCGAGACATATTACCCAACACTGAATGCGCCAGCACTCCCATCTACTTCCTGGACACTAAATGGCTTCGCCCCCATATCTCGGTAACCTAAGATGTAGGAAAGGAGCAAGGCAAGTACAGACAGCTTTTGACCTCGTTCCAGGTTTGATTCCAGATTTTGACCTTCACATTCGAAATATATTGCTTTTAAGATACCTTATCCCAAATATAAGCGGCGAGAGTGCAGCCAATAAAGTATAAGCTGCAAGCAGAAAAATCCTCAAAATACGTTAATTAAATTTAGAAAATAAAGTATAAGATGTAGGAAAGTTTGGCTTTGTGGATGTGGCTGTGGCTGTGGCTGTGGCTGTGTTGCGTACCGACGCAGCTACGCACGTGATGCGATGTGGGACCCGCAATGCGGAGCTTGCTATCAGCCACCTTTTAGGTTGTCATCACGTCGATGAATATAAATAAATAGATATTTGACTCCAAATCCCTCTCATCTTTGCTGAATACTAATAACAAAATTTTGTTTTCGTTGAAACGGAAAACACTGTGTTGGCTCAAAATGTCTTCTTTGGAAGCGCACGACAGTTACGCACGTTCTGTTTGCTATTTTATTTTATTTTATTTATCTATTTATTTCTTTATTAAAAATTATTTATTCATTTATTAATGTATATATATATATATATATATATATATATATATATATATATATATATATATATATATATATATATATAATCTGCATCACCCGGAAATAGCGTTACTGTGCCTCCCCCCCCCCCCGCCCCCTATTATACGCGATCGCTCTTCAGCTTCTCTGTATCGACTCGTTCATCGAACTCTCTCCGTCCATTCGCCATTGGAGCTCGCCAACCCACCGTCTCCCCGCCCTGCCTTCAGATCCTGGTAAACTCGAGAAACAGATCGGATTCGGTAAGTCACATCGGAAGATTCACGGATCCACTGTTCTCTTCCTCCTGCCGCTTGCTTTCTGTTTGTACGCCGGAGCAGTTCTAGTATCTCTGCAAAATGGAGGTTCTTGATCCATGTGATTCATTTAGATTCCGCTCTTTGTCGCCATTCTGCATCTTATCATATGGATTTCTGTTTCTTGCATAGGTATCATCTATCTGCTGATCTTTTCCTTTTTCTTTCTGTTCTAATTTGGAACCGGGATGGATCTTATGATGCTGAAGCGCATCAAGTATGACCGAGTCAACGATTTTGTTTGAAGATGCCGTCGTCTTCAATAATTTTCGTTAAAGTCACCCTCAGATCTCGAATCTCCGGATGCCATTCCCAATCTCTTCTTCCTTCTGTTGATGATGGTGTTTCTGAAATAAACGCTTGGTCGTCGAGAAGTAATCGGTAGGGGGATATGCACTGCCTCGAACATGTCGAAAAACTTGGATCTTTGATTTTTCTTTAAATTGCCTCTACTTGGATGACTTGTTTTTCGTTCTACTACAGCAATTTAGCATTTTTCAACCTAAAATTGTGGATTTCCTTCTCAAAGTTAAGAAAGAGATCCGACTGATTGAATGAACTTCCTCTTTCTCCTATTTCCATTCTGTCTTTCTATCAAAAAATATATATCTTTTTTGAGGTCAGTAGGTGTTTTTTTGGCTTGGTAAAAATAATAATATGTCTGTATTATAATATCTCTTAAAATCATCACCAAGCTGTTGGTTTGCTTAGATATTATCATCATCTTAGTTACCAGAAGTGATATATACAACAGCTGTTTGATTTTAGCAAACAAACTTTCCAAATTACCAGGAATAATTTGATTGTACATGTATATAGTGATGTCAGTTTGATGAATTGTGGATACTTCCCAAAAGAATCTAAATGGATTGAAATGAGTTCTGGGCTTCCTCATACCTTTGTTTGATGTAGTTGTTAAATATTACTATAATAACTTAGCAGAGAAGATAATAGTATTGTGAAATCACCACATGATGAGATCTGATTTCATTTCCCTTGTGAGCTCAGAATATAAATAAATGCATTGGAGTTTTTCTGAATATTTGTGTTATGCTTCTAGGACAGCTTCAATCCCTTGTAGTTGTAAGCTATGGTTAACTTCTAGAAGCTATGTGAGCTTGGTAAAAAAATCAAATGAACTTATTCTACTACCAATATGTTCATGGTTTCTCTCCCTAGAAGGGAACAAGTTTTTCTCAAGGGTTGTTTTATGGACTTGCAAGGCATTACTTTGAGCTCTCCCAACATATAAAGGATTTTTATATAATAATTATCTTTTCATAATATTAAAGTAGCACATGTACCCCTTCAAACCATGATAGTGTAACTCTTGTTAGCATTCATTCGGTAAACTCAGGTTAACTAACCATGATAGTGTTAAAAAAATAAAAATAAAAACAGCTGAGTTTGATTGAGTCGAAGCAATTGGTCTGTGGCAAATGTTGACCTGCTCCCTCCTGTATTAGTGCCAAAGGTGCTCTTCCTGTGCCCTCTGTGACCCTTTTAATTTGTTTTTTACCTCATCAGTCTTTTGGATAAACATGGAAGAGGATGCTGACTCAGAAATCTAATATTTAACTGGAATAGGTCCTCCGGATGATGTCTCCTCCATAGGAAATGGAATAGGGTCGTCAGGCCCCGGGATCTTTCATTGTCCTTTCCTTGTCTCCCAACCGTGTTCGGCTTTTGGCTGCTCCGATCATGCTTTTATATCCCTTCCCTGTGTTTTCTGTAGCTTTCATCGCCCAGTCTTCTTTACTTGTATAAGTGGAGTGGTTGTGCCATACTAGTTGCAAGTGGAAAGAGTGGAGCATCCCATTTGGTATATGACAGACGGGAGTGTTTTTGACAGCATGTCAATAATGCCTCCACTCCTTTCTTTAAAGTAGATGCTGGCCGTCTCCTGATAAGAGTATATGTTTTAGTGGTTATGAGCTCCAAAGGCACTGCATTCTATAACAAGCATTTATCTGCTCTACTTGTTTGTAGCAGTGATGGAGGTGGAAGGGACGGTGGAGTCGGATTCAGATAAGAAGCCAGCGAAGAAGTGCAGCTCCGACGCCGCGGCGACGGCCTCGAACAACGGCTGCTTCGACTGCAACATATGCCTGGACTTCGCCGCGGACCCGGTGGTCACCCTCTGCGGCCACCTCTACTGCTGGCCGTGCATATACAAGTGGCTGCAGCAGGGAAACGGCGGGGGCGGCGAGTCCTCGCAGCAGTGCCCGGTGTGCAAGGCTGCGTTGTTCCAGCGGAGCCTGGTGCCGCTCTACGGCCGCGGCCATAGCACCAAATCGGCCCAGCAAAGCCTCGACATACCGCGCCGACCCTCGTTCCCGCGGGAGGCGATCGAGCAGCGATTGCTGCAGCTGAACGAAGAGCAGGATCCGGTGATGCAGCAGCGGCGTCGCCACGTAGTCGAATCTAGCGGCGATCACGCGCCGCCGTTCTCGCCGCTGGCGGCGGCAAGGGTGACAAATTCGGCTGCCGGTGAGGTGTTGGGGGGGATGGCAGTGGCGGTGCTGCCGTGGATGTTTCGGGACCAGGAGTGGGCAAGCGTCTACCACCCGAGCCCGTACCACGTCGTCGGCAACGGGGTGAGGAGGCAGGAGGTGGAGCTTGCGCGGTCACTGCATCAGATATGGGTCTTCCTCTTCTGCTGCGCCATTCTGTGTCTCCTCTTGTTCTGAGACTCCAATGCGTCTTCGGAGCATGACGAGGCACCTGTCACGGGAAAGCAAAAGGGTCAAGATGCTTGACCAAAATCAAAAAGGTAAGGAGGATTCAGAAGCTGATGCTTCTCAAGTATCAGAATCATGTTGCAGAAATCCCCGAAAGCACTCACCGATCGGTGAATCAACTGTATGAATCATTTGAACCTTTGGGCAAATTTCAGTTCAAAACGAGATTCTGTCAAGAGAGAGAGAGAGAGAGAGAGAGAGAGAGAGAGAGATAGAGGATATCAATAAAAACAAGAGAGAGAGAGAGAGAGAGAGAGAGAGAGAGATAGAGGATATCAATAAAAACATTCTCTGTAACAATTCCTGATTCAGCTCCGCGCTTCTCTTCATCTCCAGCGTTGTATCAACTATTCACCTCTTGTGTAAAAAATTGTGAGCGGATAGAATAACCTAATTATTTTTTAGCATGAATATAAGGCTTATATGATAGTAAAACTTCCGATGCATGTGAGGTGTTGTGTTGGGTCAAAAAATAAAAGCATGTCTAGCAAAGCAGGATATATCTATCTATCTATCTATCTTTTTAAGAGGACATGGGCATGCATGCATGCATTGCAGTACATCAGGAACAACCTCTTTAAAGAAAAAGCAACATCTTCCGACTCTTTTGCAACATCTTCAGTACATCGAATAAAAGAAGTCTAAATGATTGATAAAATGTGATATATGCGGCCTCGAGCAACAAAACAAAAGTTATATAACATGTCCACTTCATCCCAATGAACTTTGGGGTGATGGAAAAGAGATTCCAAAGTCCAATGCAACATGCTTGCTGGAAAAAAGAAGACAGTGGTATCATGCTTGCCCTCTCCTTGGCATACCGACATTATTAAGCCACAAGATTCTACTTACCTACTTCTTCAACATGCGATTACACTTGGTGGTAATTACTAGAAAGCCATGTACCAACCCACGGCTAGACATTCATATGTAGTCAATTATCATCTTTGCGGATGTGTCGGAGGCAAGCTAGGTTAGGTTACGTTTATGTAGCCAATTATCATCTCTGGATATGTCAGAGGCAAGCTAGGTTAGGTTAGATTAGCCTCGGGGGCAACCTTCAAAATGTCTTTGTATAAAGACCTCAGGAATCACGGTACCTAATGTTAGAGCTAGTCCCAGAAAATTTACCACAAGGTAATTTTGACAACCCAACAAGACAATAAAACGAAAAGAATAAAAGCGAGACAAGAACACCAGAACACCAGATATACGTGGTTCGGTCAATTGACTTTGACCTACATCCACGGACGAAAGAGGAGCAAATTACTACTGTAAAAGAGAGACAATTACAAATGCCTTAGGAAGATGTTCCTAGGCCATAAAACACCCGAAAATACTAAACAAGAAAAATCAAACTATAAGTCCAAACTATTTAACTGAGTATGGACTTAAACCAAAGCAAACACTTAGGTTTTTCTTGTGGTGTCTCTGACTTCAAAGCCCAAGCCCTTATTTATAGTTCCAATAGGAGATAACAAGCCTAATTTTCCCGATGTGGGACTATGGGACTTGCCAAACTAACAAATTTTCACCTTGACATGTCCCAACAAAACTTGCTCCACCTTCTTCATAACAGCCCCAACGGGCAATCACCAACAATGAACACCAACCAAGTCCAAGCACTGCTTGAACTTGTGAACCGGAAGAGGCTTCGTAAACATATCAGCTGGATTGTCCTTCGTATGAATTTTCTGAATAAGGACTTTTCCCTCAGCAATGGTATCCCATTTGCATCCAACAATTTTCTTACTCGAAGACGGCTTCACAAGATCCCAAGTTCTATTCTGATGGAGAGATTCTATTTCTTCATTCATCGCAATCAACCACTTAGCGGAATTATCACAAGAAACTGCATCTGAGTAGGAAGTAGGCTCACTAACTTCACTTGTCTCTTCTGCAACAGACAAAGCATATACAACCAAATTTGCATATCTTTGTGGTGGTCGAATATCTCTCCGTGGTCTATCATTGGCTATGGAATATTGCTCTTCCTCTGGATCATCTGCGTCAGTAGACTCGGGACCACCTACTAGCATTCTTTGAGTAGAACAGTTCGACTTAAAAGAATCTGAACTACCAATCTCAAGCTCCACCTGCTTCTGCGCACTATCATTTGTACAACTAGTAGAATCCTCTTTGGAAGATAACATAAACAATTCATCAAAAGTAACATCTCTACTGATTATAAATTTTGAGGATTTAGGATTAGAACACCATAATCTGTATCCTTTCACCCCAAAAGCATACCCAAGGAAAATGCACTTTTTAGCCCGAGGCTCTAATTTTCCTTCATTTATATGCATGTATGCTGGACACCCAAAAAATTTTAAATCAGAGTAATCAGCAGGAGTACCTGACCAAACTTCCTCTGGAGTTTTAAAGTTAAGTGCTGTAGAAGGAGCACGGTTGACAACGTAACAGGCCATATGAATCGCCTCTGCCCAAAAGTCCTTTGTCGACCCTGCATTTGAGATCATACACCTCGCTCTCTCCAAGAGTGTTCTGTTCATACGTTCGGTCACACCATTTTGCTGAGGCGTCATCCTAACAGTGCGATGCCGAACGATTCCTTCATTTTTACAGAATTCTTCAAAATCACCTTCACAAAATTCCATGCCATTATCTGTTCGAAGTCGCTTAATCCTGTTTGCTTCTCAATCGAAGCATTCCATTGTTTAAATGTTAGAAAAACATTATTTTTATGCTTCAGAAAATAAACCCAAACTTTCCTAGAATAATCGTCAATGAAAGTCAACATATACCTGGCACCACCCTTAGATTGAACATGAGCTAGACCCCAAAGGTCTGAATGAATATAGTCAAGAGTACCTTTCGTTTTGTGAACTGTCGGAGAAGTGAAGCTGACTCTTTTCTACTTTCCAAAAATGCAGTGTTCACAAAAGTCTAGTAGCCCAGTACTCTGTCCGCAAAGTAGACCTCTTTTGCTCAATATGCTCAAACATTTCTTGCTCATATGACCCAAACGCATATGCCATAATTTGGTGATGTCAGAATCAGACAATGATGATGACGAGACTGCAACTGAGCCTGTGACAGTAGTTCCCTGCAGAATATATAAGCTACCAGACATACAAGCTTTCATAACAACAAGAGCACTTCTAGAAACTTTCATAACTCCACCTTCAGTTGTGTATTTACACCCAAGGGCCTCTAGAGTGCCTAAAGAGATGAGATTCTTTTTTAAATTAGGAACATGTCTAACATTAGTGAGCGTCCTCACAATACCATCATGCATTTTAATTCGGATTGTGCCTCTACCAACAACATCA